ATGCGGATGTGTTGTGCATTCGTTTAATCCGACGGTGGTTCAGTCTCCTCCGGATTGTTCCTGAGCCTTCTTAGATCCGTCATCTCTCCCTTAACGTAGGATAAAATAAGTTTATCGTCTCCGAAAAAGAAAAAAAAAAAATCAGGCCTTGATGTGGCCTGACATGGGTCTTAGTGCGCTGTTGGCTCCGGAGGAAAATGGACTAAAGTATGTGAAAAGGCCTAGAAAAAGTTTGAGGTCACTTTATGAAAATTTCATGGGGACTAGTTGTCCCATCACCCATGGCCTATAAAAATCTACTTTTGTTTGTCCCCCAGCCCATGATCTTAGACACTCTTAAGGGAAAAAATTAGCAACGTATTTTCTAAAACATAGAAATGCCAAAGAAAATGTAAAAATTCCTCCCTCGGAAATGGAGAAGGGGCCGGTACAGTTGAGATTTTTGTATGATTGTACATCATTTGATGTATACTTATATTTCTTTGTTTTGTACGTAATTTTTATTTTTATACACCAACTTTCTAATTAATACAACCACAATGGTAAACGTATAATACATTTAAAAAAAAAAAAGAAATACAATAATCGTATCAATAGTGTAGCAAGCCCAACAGCACTGGCCCTGTCTCCCTCAGTTATTACAGGTTCCTGTCCTGAAATCTTTGCTTTCAGCCCAAAGACGAGAAAGCAAATGCTTCCCAACTTCCTACTCCTTAGGCCCATAAAGGAAGTCGATATCCGGTCACTAAATATAACCGGACCAAACCGGGTCTTTGTTTTCTCCGGCCTGTTTTAATCTGTTTCCATCAGACTCAGAACAAACAAACAGATAAGTGGCCCAGGGAAGAAGATGCCGGCTTAGAAATCCAAGCCCTGCAAGAGCCTAATACGACGTCGCACAAACGACGTTTCGCATAATACACCATTAACTCTTACATTAATTAACAGCGTCTTATTCTTAAGAAAAACAACGACAACAATGGGACTTGTTCTTCTTCTTCTCCTCATCATCCTCATAATTCCCATTTCTCTCCTAACTTTCCTCGCCATAATTGTCCGTCCAAAACCCACAAAAATCTCAGTAAAAAATCGCCATGTATTCATCTCTGGCGGCTCCAGTGGCATCGGCTTGGCTTTAGCCCACCAAGCCGCTTTAGAGGGAGCCCAAGTTTCAATTCTTGCCCGGAATCCTAGCAAGCTCCAAGAAGCCAAGGACTCGATTAAGCTGGCAACTGGTAGAGACGTTGCCGTTTTCAGCGCTGATGTTAGAGACTTCGAAGCTGTGGATAAAGCTATCAGGGATGCCGGCCCAATTGATATCCTGGTCTGCAACCAGGGCGTTTTTGTGCCTCAAGAGCTTGAAAAGGAGTCGTTGGAGGAAATCAAGTTCATGATTGATGTGAATTTGATGGGAACTTTTCATTTGATTAAGGCTGCTTTGCCCAATATGAAGAATAGAGGTGATAGGGGGCCCGGTTCCATTGCCATTATGTCGTCTCAGGCTGGTCAGGTATGTTTGTCCTTTTTTTTTCCCCTTCTCAATTGTATTGTGTTTGTTGATGTTTAATCTTTGGTGGGTTTTTTATAAAGATTTGACCTTTGGGTGAATTTTGGTAAAGATTTCATCTTGAAGCTTAAGAAGGACGATTGTTGAGCTGACTTTTGAGCAAATTTGTTTAATCTAGTGGACTGATCATTGGATCGATCGAATTGCTTAGGAGAGTTACTGTTCATTTTTTAGTACATCATGGAGTTGGCGAATAGGCTAATTTTCCATTATATCTACTTTGGGAGTTTTAATGGTCGTATAAAGATTTTGCATGGTAGTTAAGAGAATAGCTTTTGGAGTGATAGATTAATGTTGAAAGTCTAGTTTTTTGACATGTGTCCCGTCGTTAGTGTCTTAGGTTGCTTGTTTGCCATGGTGGTTCTACAGTTGATTCATGTGACAAGCCTGGAACCAAAGGGTTATGAACTAAACCTATTTTACAAGCTACGAATTTTGTCAAAAGTTTGAAAAGACAGTGGAGTATGGATCTAAATGACTAGATAAATGAGAAAATACATAGCTTGAAGACATGAAAGGCAGCGCTCATCATCATCTCCAATTTACTGCATCGCTGTGTATGAATTGGCTGTGATAGGATAGCTGAAAAAAACATTCAAGACTTGCAACCAAACAATGGTTTCACCCACTCTTGCGTACAGGGCATTTCTATCCGTCTGTAGTAGTTGTTAGCTTGACTTAGCTCCAATAGTATGCATGCTTTAGGATTTTCATGCTGGAAGGACAAGCTGCTCTGTTTAAGGGATATCAGGAGGCAAGCAATTCAGCATCCATTTTGACATCTTTTTCATAGTGAAATGGATGAATCTGCATCTGTTGAATGGGATGAAGAAAAAAGAACTTTCGGTTAATCTGTTTTGCGTAGATGATGTGCTTCTATTTAGCCTCCTCTACTGATGCATTTTTTATTGTTAACTTTCGTAGGTTGGCATTTATGGTTATTCTGCCTATTCTGCTAGTAAGTTTGGCCTTAGGGGTATGGCCGAAGCCCTGCAACAGGAGCTTATTGGTGATGACATTCATGTCTCGCTTATATTTCCCCCGGACACTGAAACTCCTGGTTTTGTCGAAGGTTTGTAATCATTATCTTCTCCAGTTTGTTGGCTCGACGAGCAGTTCTTGGCACATTGTCATCTTATTGGTCAAAAGTTATAAGTTAATTCTCCATAACTTGCTGGTGTTACAGAGAACAAAAGGAGGCCGCAGCTTACAAGTATAATAGCAGCTTCCTCTGGTGCAATGAAGGCTGAAGAAGTTGCCGAGAAGGCATTGAAAGGCATTCAATCTGGTAGCTTTATTGTCCCTTGCAACTTTGAGGGAATTTTACTATCGATTGCTACTGCTGGTCTTTCTCCACAGAGATCATTCCTGATGGCATTTATTGAGGTGGTTGCTGCGAGTATCTTACGCATTGCAGCTCTGTGTTTCCAGTGGAATTGGTATGCAAGCATCGAAAGATGGCATGCTCAAAAGAAGCTATAATCACTTTTTAGAACAGACTAGCAAACATATTAGGTTTCCCTGGGAATATTTCTTTGGTTTCTTGTCCCATTTCTTGTCTTTATTTGTGAGGTTTTTGAATTTAAGAGCCGTCTTATTACTCGCGGTTGGCTAACTATCATGGTAGTCTCCGATTTTGTCATAGTATTTGTTATGTTTCTTCTAATTGATATTTGCCAAAGGTGCATCCTTTGCCTCAATCTTCCTAAGATCCCACAAAATGCGAAGGAAAATAAAAGGAAGAGACTCATGTGCCATCCAATGGTGGACAGAGGCAAATCTTTTGCATAACTTTTTCGGACGAGAGAATGAGAATTGCTTGTTCATGTAGACTCGACTAATGTTATTGTAGACCTGGACTTGGAATCACACAAAGTGATGACTTGGACTCCAACCATTGAAAAGGAAAAAATGGAATGGTTAATGTCATTCTGGGCCTCCAAATTGACCAAAAATTTCAATACGGCCCTCCGAAAAAAAATTTTCAACCTTGCCCCTCAAACTAAAAATGCAAAAGTTTTGTTCTCCTTATTAAAAGGGACAAATTATCCAATTGGCCCTTGAACTCTTTATTTAGGTAAAAAGAAACCCTTCATCTATTTTTTGTTGACTTTAATCATTCGAACTTGTAAAATTGGGCACCCGTGGCCCTTTTAGTCAGTTGCTCCGGTTTTGCAACCAGAAGATCAATTCACACAAATGCTAGTCTGCTTCTTCAAAGGACATTTTTTTTCGCATTTTCTACGCAAAAAAGGAACAACTCCTCCTTCTTCCCTCTATCTAAACCTAACCCAACCGCTAACTTATTCAACAAATGAATTGCAGAGGGAAGAGAGAGAAGTCTGCAAAGAAACAAAAAAAGGGAAGAAGGTAAAATCTTTGTCAAAGGAAAGAAAAAATGCGCAAATATCGCAGCTCTCTACTTCCTATTTGTCGTTGCAGTAAAGTGACGAAGATGATTACTTCTTGGACTGATAGAAATTCAAAGAGAAGGTACGCCGTTTGCTCTGAAGAAGTTGGTGATTGTGGGTATTGGAATTGGATTGACGACGAGATGTGCCGTCGTTCTATTGAGCTGATACTAGGCCTTCTAAGGAGGATCAATGCAACAGAAAAGCAAAAAGAGGAATTTGAAATTGCAGCAGCAAGATCCGAGGCAAAAGCTGCCAAGTTGAAGGCAAAATTAAAAGAAACGGAGGAGCAGCTATGGTGGCAGAAATGATTGAATAAGTTTCTTGTAAGGATTCTTGTGGTAAGTTGGTTGGTTACTGTGATAATGGTGCTTACAGAGAAAAAGAGAGGTGGAGTCTTTCCTAGGATGCTGCAAATTGGGGATAAATGTAATGGAATTATGCAAATTGAAGGTGATGCATGAAGGGCAGTATGTAACTGTGACATATTGCCATCGGTACTGCTAGTTTTGAAGAAAATAAATGGTGCAAATGGATATATGGTGTATGGTGCAGAGGGTTAGGGAGAAGTGTAATGTATTCTTTAGCCTAAACAAGTCTTTGTTGTATGTTGGATTAGTGTAAAAGTGTGGTTGAACCCACTCAATACTAACTGTAATTTTTGGCAAGTAATGTGATGACAATTATTTATTCTAATTCCCATGTTATGGGCTTTGTTGGATGTATTTGATTGTATTAGTCAACAAAAAACTGCTATACCGAACCATACAAATATAAGATAGCAACTGCATAACATTAGAATATAATTAGCAAAAGAAAATTACAATGATATTTGCCTGTAAATACATAGAATAATCACTTTCATAAGAAACAGACAAATGCGTAAAAAGTAGTGACATGTGTCCATATTGCTAGATATCAAGCACAGGCAGGCACATGCTTTGATTCCCCACAAAAGACTATTCAAAAAAATATCATTGATAGTCTAGACATTCTAGTTACATCCATTTACAGCCAATAAATCAGAAAAATATCAAAATGTCCAACAATACTTCAAGAACTTGTTCCAGATCCAGCAGATCTTCCCTTTCCTCTTCCCCTTCCCTTGCCTCTTCCTCTTTCTCTTCCTCCACCTCTCAATAAAAGTTTTCAATAGCAGATCTTCCCATCGATAGTCTTGACATTCTAGTTACATCCATTTATAGTCAACAAAATCATGAAAAAAATATATACAAGGTCTTCCTTTTTGTCAGGTCTAATCACAAAAGATAATGCAATACTTAAAGAACTTGTGAAAGATCCAGCAGATCTTCCCTTTCCTCTTTCCCTTCCCCTGCCTCTTCCTCTTCCTCCACCTCTTCCCTGTTAATTTTTAACATTGAAAGGTGGATTTTTACCCAAATAAGCGTAGTTGAGATTAATAAAACCTTTGTATGCATTTGTCAGTGGCCTTTTTGATGTACTTGTCTTATGCGTATGAACTGGTGGCCTTGAGGTGGATTGCTGGGACTGAGGTTGATGCGTTGACTGCTGCTGAGTTTTTTTCTGATTTCTTTGCCCCTGATTCTTGCTTACCTTCATATTAAAGAAAGCATTTCAAATCACAAAAAAAAAATCATAAACAAAAGGAAGTTATAATGAAGTGCAAACTCACACGTTGTCTTTTTGTTGGAGCTTCTTGCTGCTGCTGATTACATGGTTGTTCAGTAGGTGTTAGTTGTTGAGAAGGTTGCTACTCACTAGATGACTTAGGAGGATTCTTGCAAGTCGCAGCATTATGTCCAATCGCTCCACACTTTCTACAAGGATTATAACCCTCCTTCGCAACCTTTTGCCATGATCTTTTCTTTTTGTAAATCTCTCTTTCTAACTTTCTTTAGACTGCTAGGTTGAGTGACACTTGCTGGTGGGTCCAACTCCAGCATATCTGACTGTGGCCACTGAATGCCTCCATTAATAGGCTGCAACACATCAATCTCAGTGGAATGCCACTCAAGGCCCATAACAAGTAAGCGTAATTGAGATTAATAAAACTTTTGTCTGCATCCGTCAGTGGCCTTTTTGATGTACTTGTCTTATGCGTATGAACTGGTGGCCTTAAAGTGGATTGCTGAGACTAAGGTTGATGTGTTGAATGGGAACATGGAATGCCACTCAAGGCCCACAAATTGCATATGCACTCATTTTTGTCAAAATCAATAGCAAATTGGGCTCCTCGTGGCCCTTTTGCTTGATAACCTGAGATTGAATTCCATGTTATGTCCCATTGTGCTGTATGTTTGACCCTTTCTTCCACAATTTCTCTAATCAGTGATCCACCATCCAACTTGTATTTTTTCATTGATGTCTTTCTCTTTTGGATCCTTTCCATCAGGTATTCCCTAATGGCCTCCATCATAGAAATTAGAAACTGGTCCCTAGCCTCTAAAATATGGGTATTAAATAATTCACATAGGTTATTAAGAAGCATATCACACTATGTATGTTTGGAAAAAAAAGCCTTACACCAATGTCGAGGGTGTGGTCCCTTCTTCATCTATGCATGTGTTTTTTTTGTCATATTCTTGAAACTCATCCATGGTTTTGTTGAAATGTTTAACTATTGTGCAGTCTGCTATACTCCACAATCGATCCTTTAAACCTAATTCTGGATATTTTTTGTTGAAATTTCTATATATGTGTTGAACACAGTATCTGTATTCAGAATTTGGTAGAACCTTTACAAGTGCTCTATCCAGCCCCTACACAAAATATCACAACAAGTGTAAGTTAGACATCCAAGATAAGGGGCTTACTTTTATACACATATAAAAGTTAAGGGACTTACTTTTATACACATAAAAGTTAAGGGGCTTACATTTGCTTGCAAGAATAGTTAAGAGGCTTAATTTTAACCTTCCTTCCAAAAGTTTGACGACTGAATTATACTTTTACCTTCTGCTAGTTAGATATGAAAGTATAATGTCCCTGATTCTGTATTTTCAGGTCGTCACTTAAGAGGCTTAAGAACCATCTCCATTGCTCCGTAGCCTCCTTTTCAACAGCTGCCCATGCAATTGGCCGATAGCCGTTGTTGGGGTCCATTGCAATAGCTGTCAACAGTTGGTCTGGATATCTACCTTTAATATGACATCCATCCAAACACAAAATAGGTCTGTATCCATCTTGGAAGCCTTTCTTTAGTAGACCAAGACAGGAGTACATCCTCATGAACTTTGGATTACATCCAGGTTCTCTAAATGAAGTGAACATAACCTCCATTGTACTGTCAGGATGAGTCCTTTTAATCTCTTCACAATATTGTCATATTTTCTTATATTGTGACTCAACTAACCCTTTGATCTTCTCTATAGCTAGTATCTTTGCCTTAGTTGTAACATGCTTAGGTATTTCTGCCTTATAGTTTTCGTGGATTGTTTACCTTAACTCTTTCGTTGGCAAATTGTTGTTTGATCATATCCTCTCTACATACTTGTCAGACAGCCATTTTGCAGTAATATTCTTATTTTTTCATGTACGATTGCATGTTTCATGGATATCATGCAGGGTCTTTACTATCAAATCCTTTGTGCCCAGAGTCTTCTCTATTGAAGCAAATACAAACCATTTACATAGCTACCTACACTTGACCCTTACCTTGGTGGGTTCATTTTTACTGGTCCAAACAGGTTTACCCATCCTAATCCCATACTCAGACACAGCAAAATTGAATTGTACTCTTGACTCAAATTTCATCCCAATCTCGAATTTGGGATCCTTGAGGAATTTCTCTAGGATAAAGTCCTTGTATCTCCCTTTGAATTCATCATCTGATGAGCCATTGTCACTACTTAGGTGATCAGGGATGTAATCTTGTTAGAGTGAATCCGTATCTTCTAATCCCTGGTTAGATTGGTTTGCTGGTTCTGTTCTCTTTCTCCTAACTTATTTCTTTCTCGCACCTTGCTGTTGCGTTTCCAGGTTAGTTTTTGTTTGCCTTCCATAAACATTCTCCTGTTCTGAACATTGCATCTACTCATTTGTGGTTTCATCTCTCTGCTGTTGCTGTGAAGTTTCACCATTGTCATCAGCATTCGAAAACAAATCTCCAGCATTTCCTCTTCACCACCATACTCATTGGCACCACTAAATCTATCATTTTCTTCCTCTGTTTCTGATTCAGATTCATCCTCCATGTTTTCTGTGAGAACCCGTAATTTTCTTAATTTCTAAGTTTTAATTTCTTTTAATTACACGTTTTTTCACCTTTTCTTTATTCGAAAAATTGTGCAAATAAATTTTATGAGTAAATATAGTTTTAAATTATTTTTCTAATATCGGTTAGTTTTTGAGAAATTAAGAGCGTATATCGGATGTGAGACCCGCTAGTACGAAAAGTTCGAAAAAATTCGGCTAACTAGGTTAAATTTTGGATACTGGAATTAATTGACCGGGTGTTAAGAGATAATTAGAGGTTGATATGTGGATTGATGTGAGAGGGAACAAAAGGATATGTATGCATTTAATGAGGTGACAAGTGTCACCATTTGGTTGGTGGAACTTTATGAACACTATTCATGGTCTTACCAATTGACCAAATAAATCAAAAAATTACCAAAATTCACTTCATTTTCCAAGTTATTGAAGCCGGCTCTCTCAAGCAAGAAAGTAAGAAAATCTCTCCAAATTCCTAACTCTAATCTTGCTCAAATTCAACAATCCAACCGTTTAATCTTACAATTACTCCATAAAATCTCTTCACTTAGTGTTTGTGAGTTGTTTGGTGGAGTTGTTTGGAAAGTTAAGGGGATTAATTGCTCCCTCTCTTGTATTGCTAAGGTGAGTAGTGAAGGTCTCCTCTCCTCCCTCTAATGATGTTTGATTCATGATTGGTGGTAGTATAAAATGCAATTTTATGGATTACATTTTGATTTGTGGTTGAATTGGTGAAGTTTTGTAATTATTGGAGATTTTTCTGTTTTCATATGGATATGATTATGTGATTATGTATGATGATTGAAAATGGTATTTAAGGAAGCTAGAAGGTGGAAAAAGTGGTTAATTGCAAGCAATTTCTGTTTTAGAAAGAAAATTGGAAAGTATGGTTTCTTTGAATTAAATTCTGCCCGGTTTTGTAGCTCATAGTTAGAGGCCAAATTGGCATTGGGTTAAAATATGAAAGTTGTAGGGAATGATATTTTAGAGGTGTCTGCAAAATTTCAGGTCAATCGAAATAGCGTAGCTTGAGAAAAGACGGAATTACCCTTGTTGCCCTGGTTTTACCCGAATTTGGGAATTGCTTCTGTAATGGGTTATTTTGGTTGGGAATGCTTTGGAATTGGTTGTTGAGGTCTTCTAATGTATTGTAGCCCTATTTCTTAGCTTTCGAATGGCTTTGGAATTATTGGATTTGGACTTAGGTAGGCTGACTTATGATGTTTGAACCAGAATGCGTTCTGTGAATCTGTTTTTCCGGTTCTGGTGTAGTATCTTGCATTTTTTACCTGGTTACACTCAAAACTGGGCTGAGTGACCTTCTGTAATATTGTAACCCTATCTCTTAGTTTCAAAACGGTGGGTTTTTCACCTTCATTCGATAATCATAGTGCCATTGGTACCAAAACCGCATAATGACGTCAAAAACTGTTTTTTCGGGTTAACGCTTAACTACATTTCCGGATTTTTCTGGTTTCCTCTAATGCTTATGTATGCTTATGGAGCCCTATTTTAATGGTATCTGGAATTGATTTATGACTTGTAAGCGAGTCTTATTGTGTTTATTTGAATAGTTTTACGGCTTGACTTTTGTTTCCAGTCATTTTCTTAACTAAATTTTGTACTTGAACGACTTTAAGCTTACTGAACGGCTTTTGGAAATGAGATTATTTTTGGTATGAGATATTGGGACTGATTTGAGGAAATAATGAAGCCATTAATGGCTGGAAAATAGATAAACACAAGGGACTTGCTGCTGAAATTTTTCTTGAAGGCTAGTTGGATTTACTTGTGACTTGAGCGAAGGGTTTTAGGGTTGTTCATGTTTTGATAACAACCGCTACCTTTTTCTCCAATTTCGTTGTTATTTCTTTGCACTGGTAGCTAATGTGATCAGGCACACGACTTGTAGTTAAGTCTTAATTATGCATTTCGTGTACTGGATTCGTGAAAGTGGGAACCATAATTGTTTCACCTTGGTTATTTTAGGGTTTCCTGGTGACTAAAGCTCCAAACTTTTGAGGTATCTGTACTGACACCGGTGGCTGTACCACTCCCCTCCATTGCTGTTTAACTTAATTTCTGCCTTGCAATCTGTGATTTAAATGACTGCACTATTTGTTTATTTTGTTTGAGACGAGGGTGTACTTTATCACACTCGTTCTCTTATCTGTTCATATGCCAATTTTGGTGCGAATCTGAATCTGTATCTGTATCTGTATCGATATCTGTATCTGTATCTGTTCGGACGTCGTTTGGAAACTTGTATCCAACGACCTTTCTGTGACCTCTGAACTCAACCCCTGTGACAAGTTACTTGAGTCGAGCCGGCAAGGGTCTGGTCGATTAGATAACGAACCACGGTTGTCTGTTTTGGGATCTTTGGGTATTGAGACCCTTGATTCCGGATATACTCGAGTATTACCATTTCTGATCTGATTGGATTGCGGGCCCAGTAGGGATATGTGAGGTGGAAGGAATCGGAGAAAGTGAAGTCTACGGTATTGGTTACTCCTTTAGCGTTGACGGAGTGTCAACTATTATTTCGATCAAGTTTCGGTGTCGCGAATGGGAATTTGGCTCTTGAGAGCCACCTGTATCCTTCCTATTTGAATCATTGGTTCTTTTACTTTACATCTGGTACGTGTATCTGATTTGTAAATGTGAAATGCCATAATTTTACTGCTATATGTCTGGTACCTCATTAAGCGCAAACTCACCCCTTTCTGTTCCTTTTGTTTTCCTTATAGGAAAATAAATTCTTTTGGATTGGATTTGATAGTTGGTTGCCGAATTGAGTTAGATGGACATATCTTTTGTATAGCTCATTGATTGAAACCCTAAATGTACTTTTGGGTCCGTTTCTCTTTTGATTTGGCAAATCATACATGTATCAACTTTTGAATACTTTTGTATGCCACTTTGGATTGTATATGCTTAATTTCAAGATGTATATATTTGATTGATGCTTGATTGGATTTTGACGTGTCGGTTACTATTCATGGCCGACCCCATTTTCATTTTTTTTTATTTTGTGATTTTGACTTGTTTACTCGCATTTGTATGTTCCGGAATGTATTAGATCGCTTTAAACTGAACCGTTAGTCCTGACGAAAGTTGGGCATGCAGTCCGCTAACCTCTTTGGTTCGTTTTAGGGGAAGGTGAGGCTGTCACATTTTCTATCCCTATTGATTCATTAGCCCCACAATTAGATGCTGTATTACTATAGTCAGTTTCATGTTCACCCTCTGCTGTCCCAACATTACTAGCTGCATGTCTACTTTTTACTCTCTTTTCACCCCTACCTTCCCAACCATATCTTCATCCTCTGCTGTCCTAACATTACTAGCTACATGACTGCCTTTTGCTCTTTTTCACCCCCTACATTCCCAACCAAACAATCCCTTCTAGTACTCTTCTGAGTATCTACATATCTAGTTATGTATTCATCCTTATCTAATTCTTCTATGACAACTCCAGATTTTTTTTTCTCTTGTCTGGTGACTCTATTATTACAGCATTTTTCAGTTCTTCAATTTCTGGGACTGTTAGATGATGACAATATACTTCTATCACCTTGAATTTGTATGCCCAGTCACAGAATGTCCTAACATAAGTATCAGTGGACAATTCTCTCAAGCCAGTTCTCATGTCTGCAATTGGTTCAAGGTAATAGTGCAATATGACTGCATTACGGTGATCAACTTTTTCAACCATTTTATTCAACTCATGGATTGACATACGTTCAGCATCACACATGTCTATGTAGGCTATTTCTCCATTCTCATAGCTGACATAATTTTTCCAATTTATTCTTCCCCCGTGGTGTTACCTTATGCTAAATATTTCAGATTCTGAATCTATATATCAATATGAATTTTTCGTTTCAATACAAGTTGGACTACAAGAAGTGCAGAAAAATATACTATTCAAATTCAAATATAATTAATTAAAATTTCAATTTCTGCTTCACATGTTTTCTAAAAAAGTAACCCTAATGTAATACCCAAATCCAAGTTAAACATTAAAAAAGTTCCAACTTTTAATGAAATGTTGATTGTTCGTAAATCCCTACACTTTTTCAACAACTAAACAGCAAATTTGGGTGCTCACCACCTTACCCCCACATCTAGAACCACTATCATGTCACTTTCAGTAACCCCCACCACCAAAATTTTATCTAAACCCATCCGACCACTAAATATGCTACCTATTTCATATTTAAAGGTTCGAACAAAGTTACATATCATAAACGAGGACGGGATCAAAGTATTCATTTTTCGGCCTGATTTGCCACTCCATTGTTGCTTCAATGTCGATGATACCTAAATCCGACAGTGCTGATTCTCTCTTGCTCTTCTCCCTCCACAAAAATCCTCAAGGGAAGATGAAAAGGGATAAGGAAAATGCAGTATGGTTCGACTTGATTGGGCGGGTTAGGAAAATGGAAGGAAGAAGGAGGAGTTGTTCCCTTTTTACTTAGAAAGATGCGGACAACAATGCCCCTTTGAAGAAGCAATTGGCATTCGTGTGAATTGGCCTTTCGGTTGCAAAATCGAAGAAACTGGCTAAAAGGGTCACGAGTGTCCAATTTTACAAATTGGTTTAAAGTCAGTAAAAAATAGATGAGGAGCTTCTTTTTACCTAGACAAAGAGTTTAAGGCCAATTGGATAATTTGCCTTATTAAAAGTCTCATATGTTCAATGTGGCCCTTCATTTTAATTTTGTTTGGCTAATGAAAGTTGACTCTTTCCAAACTAATAAGCGGGTTAATAGTTCTCAAGGACTGTTTCATACTTTTAACATTTTTAGATTTTTCATTTTAGATTGGATTTCAAAATTTAGGAAATAAAGACAAAGAAAATACAAAAGGCAAAAGTAAATAAAAATGTAGTTTCTGAGGTGAGAAGGAATTGGTAGCAGAAGAGGTGGAGGTAAAAATGTAGGTGGAAGTATAGAGAAAAAAAGAAAAAATATTT